CTCAGTGAGCGCTTCGTAATACTCCTTGCTGCAACGCAAAACCAAGACATGAGGAAGCATACAGTCTAATTGCAGAAGCAGAAGTTGTGCTGCATCCAGCCCTCTCCATGATTTAGCCCCCTCCACTCAACACTTACTCGAAGGGAGCCTTGTTTTCCACCGCTGCAGGCTCCATCTCACAAAAAAGAAATGTGATACTTGTTTCTGGAGTTCGATTCTGGTCTCCTTCAGTGCATGTTCCTACGGCGCAGCCAACTTTGGTGCTGTTAGTCCAAAGAAGGTGTGCGAGGTTGGCGCCGTCTGCTTGCTTCCAGAAGTCCGTCCACTTCTGCTCCGTATCAGGGTACGACTCCATATGCCTGATGGAAGAGCAACAGTCGACATAACAATACCATGCAGAATTAGCATTTAAATCAGTTGGATACGCGATGACGATGAAGATGAAGCGGGTCTGTGGATGGCACGGGAAGGTACATGAGAGTATGGTGGCTTTGATTATGGAGAACTTCTCGTCACATTCTCTTCCCTCCTTAGCATAAGAATGCATATAAAATCACAGAAGGCAAAAAACTACGGCACAGATATGTCATTTCCTGTGGAATTATATTATACACTTGCTTCTGTATTGGTGTTCTGCTGTGGGGAGTATAGATGCACTCACCCAAGTCCAGCGTCAAGGGCTTTCTGCACCGCTTGGCGATAGTTCAGGTCTTGAGCGTCTGTGAACTGTGCGACAAATTTCGTCTTCTTCTGAAAGTTCGAAAAGAAGCGATATATGTCATATATATTTTCGTGTACGCAGAACTCCGCAAACGCCTAGAGGCGTATTTATGGCCGCTAGTCGAACATTTGAACGGTGACTTTACTCACGAGTGTTTCGATGGATTTATCACACGTTTCGGCTGGCGACGAGTCAGATGCCGTCGCTGGTAATTTGGCGTTTAGACCTTCAGCCAGGTCGCTGTCCTCCGTCAATACGCCAATCCGTACAGACATCTGACCAACACGAGCCAAGTTAACGGAGGTGTATGCATCTGCAAGCAACAAAAACACCGAAAGAGAGGCCGTCTGCCTGCCATCAGAAGCATGGATGAGAGCTCCTCCTTGGCAGATGTCTAAGCAATGCAGTTAAGGTACTTACTTTTTCCAGGAACAGAAAGAAATACTCAAATCAAGAAGATAAAAGTATGTCTGCATACCTTCGTCAGCTTTTTTGGCGCTGAATTCCAAAGCTCCTGCCGCCGGCTGTAGCCCAGAGAGCGCCACGAGGCAAACAACAGCTGCTCCCTTGAAAACGGGTCCCATTGTCAAAAATAACAGACTAGAAACCGAACAAAACAATTAAATGGGCTATAAAGAGAAGAGTAATAAGACAAAATGAACATGGAGTGTGAATAACAAGCAAGGAGAAGCCTGGGCTTGTCGAGCTTGTCGCCTATCTCTGAGCCGGTAGCCCCCCTAGAGGCGGGCCTGGCACAAATCTGATTGTTCTCCGGTGCACACGAGGACTCGAATAGAAGGACAAGCTAAAGAAATCCAAATCGGTGACTCCCCTTTACAAAACGACTGAGCCGTTTGCCTCGTCGCACTCTGGCTTCAAACAGAGGCGAGCACTCCAACATACGAACTTACGGTAGAAGATCTGCAAGCAGGTGATTATGCAACCCCTTATACGTGATC